ATTCACAAACGATGCCCGTTGGCCGGACCAGAGAAATCATTGTGGGCCATGGGGCCAAAAAGAATAAAATCATAGGCGTATTCGTAGGCAAGGTAGACCTACAACAAGTCTTATTCGTCGTAGAGCATCGGCGCTGCTAGGGCCTACTTAGGCAAACTGCGTGGCGAAGTGGCGAGCAGCGAGCGCAGCATAAGTCCCTGTTCGCAAGCTCTCACGCCGACCCTGGTGCCGCTCCTTCGCATTGTGAACCCCGATGTTTATGGGTACATACTACATATTCTAGAAGTGTAATTCACAAACGATGCCCGTAGGCCGGACCAGAGAAATCATTGTGGGCCATGGGGCCAAAAAGAATAAAATCATTAGGCGTATTCGTAGGCAAGGTAGACCTACAACAAGTCTTATTCGTCGTAGAGCATCGGCGCTGCTAGGGCCTACTTAGGCAAACCTGCGTGGCGAAGTGGCGAGCAGCGAGCGCAGCATAAGTCCCTGATTGCAAGCTCTCACGCCGACCCTGGTGCCGCTCCTTCGCATTGTGAACCCCGATGTTTATGGGTATGGCGGGGAAGAAGGCGCCCGGGCCACAGGGGGCATTCGGTGGTTTCTTTTCTTTCTGCTCCACTGGCAGGTCAGTAAGCATTGAGGTTTTCATTGAAAAACCATTATCCTGTTTCTCTTGCTATCGCGGAATGTAACTTTAAACAAATTTGAGGTCGGGATGATTTTGTGTCGCCAAGATGGTGTATTAATGTGCCATTTTACTTTGTCGCCGGGAACAGGCGAAATGCTCCTGCGCTCTTGACGCATTAGCCTTATTTTACGCTTCACAGGAACCCGATTCGGATGGAAGTTTCACCGCAAAATGCCTCGATGCAGGAGCAATGTCCATTAACCTGGTAATCTCTGGAATATAAGTCGATCTATTTCAAGGAGGCCAATTTAAATTGCTTCAGCCTTAACCTGCTGCATGAATTTCTCGATCAAATCACTGGTAAGCAAGTTCTCAAGGACCGTGAATCTGATCACGTCAGTCTCCTCCACCTATTTTTCGAACAATATTGCTATGATTTTTGATCGAAGTGCATTTCTATAGACTTGCCGTCCATCTGGCGCATCGTGTTCATCTGGCAAAATCTTCAGGTGTAGTTTGTGCAGAGCATTTTATTTATTTTGTGCTTTTCAATATGCAATTGGGAAAACCGTTTAGAGTTTGGCGAATTGTCCATGTCAGAGCTGAGGATGAATGAAAAAAATGAGACTGCTTCTTTGGTCCCTGCTGTGGGAGTTGAGCAAGTTCAGGTACAATATCTACCACTTCTGCATTATAGTCACACCAAACTTGTGATCCTTTTCAGGCCTCAGGTGTATGAACGAATAGCAGGATGAATAAAGATATCCAAAAGTGTTTCAAGAGTAACAGAGGTCGAAAAGGACGTGTAGGTTGAATCCTTCAAGCCATGATGAACACAGGTGGACATCCTTAGAAAGCCAAATGTTTTTTTATTTATTGTTCGATATTTGTTTTTTTGTCGGATTTCTCTTTTACTAGCTCTCATCACTTATAAAAGAGGCCGCATACTCAGCACATTGATGAAAATCTATTCAGCTGGTAGGCTGAAGCACTAGCTAGACTAGTCAATATTGCAGCTGGGTTGAAATATGCATGCGTGCATATAGTATGGACAGTGGTGGCCAAAATTCAATTAGCAAATGGTTTTCTGAGAATTTCTTCAAAAAATCACTGAATCAACCCCAAATTTGGAACAGGTTTGTCGTTTATAATTAGAAACCTGTTGTCGCAAACGGATTCATATAGCTTTCTCTGAAGATTGTAGTACTCGTGAAAAACTGAAAATCCCTCCTTCCGCTTTTTAGGTCCTTAGGTCCTTAGTTTGCTTTATGCATTTTCGCGTTTTTCCCCAAGCTTTTTTATTTTACTGCTTTGTATGTGTGGTATTCAGAATATGGCTAGGACGTTCGATGCACACCACATGCCAGTTGGTGTCCGCAACTTCGTTCTACGAGGAATTGAAGAAGGAATGAAACAAGCCAAATTAGCAAAAAATTTGACGCTCCTAGAGCAACTATTTCCCTTTTTTCTGAAGAAATTCTGAGCAGATGGAGCGTTTGCAGTAGCGATAAATTCCGGATGAAGCCATATGACCTCACGAGTTATCGATAGGAACATCCTTCGATTGAGTCGTGGTAATGCCAGGCTCACTGCCTTCGAAATTTAAAGGAAATCGGCCGCTGGCAGCGAACAGACTCCTTCAACAAGAACTAGGCGTCGGAGACGTCTACAAGCTGCCGGACTTGTTGGAAGGTGTCCTGCGAAGAAGCCGTTGATTTCGAAGAAGAATCGTGACGCTCGTGTCAAATGGGCTCAGTGGCGTACTGGTTTGACTCGCGAACAATGAACCAATGTTCTATTTTCTTTGATGGGTAGTGACTATCAGGTATTTCGATGTTCAGTTGGCAGGAGATTCCATCCTACGTATCCCACTGTGAAGCATATTGGAGTAAATGTGACGCTTTCGGGATGTTTCAGTGATCACGAAATCTTCGCCAAATTCGTGGAGATTTGGATAGATATGGATATGAAGATATCTTAGAAACAACTATGCGTCCATTTGCACTCCAGTCCATCGGCAGGGGATTCATTTTCCAGCAAGATAACGACCCCAAGCACACATTCCGGCTCCATTCGCGACTGGTTCACTCACGCCATGTGCAATTGCTTGACCGGATAAGTGTCTCCGGATTTAAATCCGATTGAGCATTTATGGACGAGCTGGAGCGCCGCGTAAAAGGCAAAACAGCAAGGAATTTGGTCGAAACATTTTCACAGATTGAAGTAGCCTGGAAGCTATCCCACAGTCTTACCTTGGCATTGTTCGATTCGATGGCCCGAGGATATAAGGCTGTTAACGATGCTAACGGATTTACAACAGAGTACTAACTCTACCTATTTCTTATTGTTATTTTGGTTTTTGAAGTTTGTTTTCACCTTGTTATTTTAAGAAACTGACCACATGGTTTTTTGCGTCGTCCGATAAATTCGAGAAGTCGATAATTTTAGTCCTGTCATAGTTGATTGCCGATAAGTTTTTTTTAATGAGATTGAGAAAGCATCAAAGAATTGAATAGGTGCGAGTTAGGGAACTATCCAGTAATCTTCAGAAGAGAACTTCTGGGAAAACCTTTTGTTAGTTGATTAGTGCCGCAATCGTATACATGCAAACGTTCCACCCCAAACAGATCACATTGTCAGGCCTTGCGAAGCGCACGTTATATTATTGATGCAAAGTCTGGGTTCTACCTGTTGAAGTAGTTTTTGCTGAAAATTGAAGGATAGCATCATTCGGAGGTAAAGAAAGGGAATATGGACCTCAATTTAGTTTGCCTACATAAATGTAGGGCGGGCCCTCTGAAGGGTGCGGGCCAACACGCTTCGCAGCGAAGGATAACAACTTAGCATGGTCGTACCCGCGGCGCTATCAACGTGGCACGCCCTCCATCTGACTAACCTTTCACTGCAGAATAGAGCGTCAGCGTTGAAGAGGGCAGCATCGATGAGAGTCATATCAACGGTCAGAGATGCGGATGCTTTTCAATCGCTACCAGGGTGTTAACATGCTTAGCTTCAAATCAGCAAGCGAGACCATAAGCAAAAGTATGGCCAAATGCTGGGTAATAAGTTCGAGCCGTTCGAATCTCGTCAACTTTCCAATCTCGTCTGGACTCTATTGCTCAAATTGTGTCCGTGCATTCTGAAATCGATGCAAGTAAACAAAAATCTGACTTAGCATCGAACGCAGTAATGAATAAACACTACTTAGGGTTGCTATGAATATTGTGGCGCTTCTCAAAGAACTTCCGAACAGTAGTTAGACTCTTCAGAATGGGTGCGATTGTGCGATGCGTGGTTGTCTGCTTCTCGTATGCCTCTTTGCTCCCTATTTGTGAGATCCGCTCTACAGTCCAAGCGTCCAGCTGTCCTTCTCAGTCCGCTATCATGTGTATCTTTGGTTCTTATCCTATTATCCTGCTCTTATAAATCGGCTAAGTGTGTCTGTTGGTGTATCTGTGTGTGTGTTGACCGAAAATTCATAGCGCACTTTGCTGCAGCAGTGGAGCGCTGTATTTTAAGTATGTGGTGGGGGGGTGAGACGGCGAAACACCTTGTCGGCGAGCCTAAAGTGATAACAACGATTTGAAAAATCCAAGAGAGCCCCCGAATCTATGTATCCATAGCGCGCGTCCCAGCATCAGTGAGGCGTTGGTTCCAAGAAGTGATAGAAAGGGGTAGAACGGGAACACTCTTGGTGGGGACCCAAAGGTGATAACGACTGATAAGATCCGATAAGAGGCGCCAAAACGTCCAATTCCACGAGATCTAGCGCGCGTCCCAGCACACTGCTTGTTCCAAGAAAGTAATGAGACATAGATACGGAACATTTTCGATGGGGCCCCGAGTGATACGATGCGATAAGGCCGGCAATAAGCCGATATGCGCCCTTTAGAATAATATCGGCCACCAGCTAACACACTCCATAAACACACATTTTCAACTGCATCCAGAGTTGGTACCAAAATTATGAGGACCGCGTGCGCGCGCAGTCATATCCACTTTTTTTCCGTACCGCTCCATTTTCATCCCGTTCTCAACACATGTCTTCTTCCTAATGAAACCAAATTTCATGAAGTTCTCAAAACTAGTGAAATAACTACTTCACTTTGAGTCAGTCCTCAAATTGAACTCACTAGGGGCTCTGGCACGTTACATCTAGCAGCAGTCTAACCTATCAGAGAAGCCCTTATGAGCAACAGTTCAACTCTTCAATAAGTTTGGAACACCACAGATGGAAAATTCGGGGACTCGAAAGTTACAGTTACCACCAGGATAATTATCAGATGCAGAAACTAGGTCTCCCCTTGTCGACTTTCGTACACCCAAAATGAAAAAATTGATGTGAAAACCCAGCCAGACACTCTAAAGACTCCACATCTGTAGTGGATAGAAAGCCACACGAGTAGTCTACTTAGAACTTCTTACAGGACCGAGCACCCAAGAATAAAGCAAAAATCCTCCAAAAAGCGATTTTTCGAGTTCGTTGCTTTCGAAGAATTGTTACAATGGAACCATCCACCTAATAGCTCTAGATTTCTGTATTTCACACCCTGGATGCAAGCGCAAATAAATGCAACACAAAAGTTTGATTCCCTGAAGAAGGCAGAGCAGAAGGCCTGGAAACATTTGGACACGCCTTAGTTGCGTGCCACCGCACGCGCCATCCCCCTCATCCGAAGGCTCGTGTTAACGGGGAAGTGGCAGATCTCAATTCTATTCTGGAATTACTTTGAGGTAAGAGTTACAAATACTTCCCAGAAGTTGGTTTGTTCCATCAAGCTACTATGCGTTTTTAACGACACAATGTCTTGGTCCTCATAATTTTGGACCATCCCTGTAACATTCTTTATTTGCGTTGTTATCATTAGCCTAAAACGTAGTACCAGTAGGCCGCTGCGCTCTCCAGAAGTCAACTAACGCATTTTACGAAGCAGCTCAATGTTGCGCGGATCTCCCGCACTCATGCGCGCGTAGCCGCACGGCACTAGACTGGTGGATAAAAAATGTGAAAGATAAGAAATTTCATAGAGTACAAGGATAGGGAATTTCCCCCGAAAGTTCTTGCATTCTTTCCCAACATAAAGAAGTTGTGATCACACGACGAGACAGCATACAAAGTTTCACGCACGAACATTCGGTTTCCGGAGAGCAATCAATTCACCACAAAATCCACACTCTATAGACAGTGGAAGGT